ACCGGTGGAAAATGTTGTACTTATTGCTGGGTTTTGAAGTTTCTGGAACCTTTGAGCTGCATCTGCCAAAAGGGCTGAATGTACATGACCTATGTGTGGTTCTGCATTCACATAGAATATAGGTGTTGTCACAAAATACCTTCCAGTCGTAGTCTCACTTTTGTCAACTTTTTCGCTATCGGAGTGTCTTATTCCCGAAAGACACCTTTTCAGCAGTCCAAGGGATCTCGAGACATTATTCCGTCTGTTCACACACGACCTTACAGAGTCAAGTCTTAACGTGAGCAGCATTTTCCTCCAGCCGTGGTTTTCATCCCTCCGCCGGTGTCTCTGCCATGACGTCGGCCTTGTTTACCTTCGTTTGTCAATTGAAAAACTACACTAATACGTCCAATAAATAACACTATATTAAAACATTTGAACATTTATTGTAAATGTAGGTATCAGTGTAAGATAACTATGACCCAACTTTGTTATGATATTAAATTGATTTACAATTTTGTTAAATCATCTGGTCCCCCCCCCTCAAAAAAAAATATATATATATTAGTATCTCAACACCTGATTTACACATATATACATAACCACAAAGAAATAGACAAATATAACTAGAAAATATTTAAAATAAAAAAATGAGAATAATTGATGAACATTCCACATAAACCAAAGTGGAGGCAACAGACACGCTGACACCAGGCAGGCTCGCGGGGATAAGCTCGGTAAGGTAGGAATAAAAGAGAGTTAGCAGCTAATTAATAAAAGAGAGTTAGCCGTTAATGATGTGATTCATAAGATGTATAGTGATAAAACCTCAGCCAAATTGGATTGTGCTGTGATGATCAACTAATGGTTATTTAGTGGCGGACGATTTGGGGTTTGTTAATATTAGTGAGGGGTTTGTTCATGGGAGTAGGTTGCTGTATGTATTATTTTATATCATATGGATGGGGATAAGTGTTGTATCGTTATGGTGTAGGCGCATTAGGATTAGTTTTGTGTTTTATCTCTCCTGTTTGATCTCTCCATTCATGTATTTACACTTGCTGCAGTTGGAACCTCGTGCAAGTTACTGCCAGTTAATTATTAGATTCCAGTTTATTCCTCCATCATGGCAGTGTTGAAATAGCCAGTCTGGTGGAGGGAGGAACGCCAGAATAATACTGTGGGGATTTTGATCCTGATCCTGTTGGGTAATTTGCTGTGCCTGATTTAGAAGTGAAGATATTTATTTTACACAGTAATGCTATCAGAATACATGGGTATTATGATAAAGATTATTCACTATTCAAACATTTATTTATAGCAGTTGAAAGTGAAGAAGCAAAAAATTGATTCATTCCACCTCTTACTGGGGTGATTGCATGTGAAGTGGGAATTTTAATTGGCTCATCAGATTTCATCAGTGATAAAATGCCCTCAGTATTTCAAGACTTCCCAGTGTAAAAGAGTAATTTGTGTGTTATTAAGAATGATTTTATTAAGTAGTGTAATATGCATTAAAAAGTAAATCATCTTGGTGAACTTGTTTCTATATTAATAGACCTAAATATATGATGATGTAATAAAGGTGGTAAAGATTATTAAATAAAGAAAATAGGATTATGTTAGGCTAATGAAATTGGATTATGGTACCTATTTCATACTGGCAGATTTTCAGAAATTATTATTATTTTTTTTTTTATTAAGAATAATAGTTTTTAGTTATATAGTGCCACGGCTGTTGATACATGTAGTTTAGGGAGGGGGAGGATTTTCTCCATCCCACAGGCCAGTCATGGGGGGGGTTCCTAAATGTTACCTGTAATTAAGGAAATAGATCATAGATTTACTATAGTAAGTAAATAGATAAACTATGTTATAGAAATTATTTTGAATTACATAGTAAAAGACTTTCATACTAAGACAGACAGATGATTAGAAGGATTTTTAGACAGAAGAGAGAAGTGCACTTTACTCTTTATTTTGCTTAACTTCATTATTTCTTGCATAGCTAAAGATGAATATGTTCTTTGGTTTAAATATAGATCCCCTTGAGGAACCTAAGGGAGTCCCTCAAAAGGACCTAGTCCCCTGAATTACTGTAAATGTATCAGTAATTTTAAATCATTACCTTCAAATCACAGATTATGGAGTGAGGATGTAGTCTATATGCTAGATATTTTTTCAGGTGAATGTGGAAAGTTGAAAGGCTAAAATTCTGAAAGGCTATGGAGTTAACTCTGAAAGAATAGAATCTGACAATTGTAGGTTTATGTATATGTACACTTTGGTCAATACAGGGCAAAAGTCATCACCAAAAATTTGTCCACATTTTCCATAGAATAGATATCTAGACTAGAATTATATAAGCCAAAATAACTATGGATGAAAGTAGAGAAAATAAAAGTTTTCCATCCTATATGCACACACAGGCCTGATTCCTGTTGTCCATCAGGCATTATATGTACATTTTACTTTTTTGATCGGGGCTATTATAATGCCACTTTAGTTTCTGATCTTATTTGTTTTGTGAGTAATTGTTCTTCAGGATTTCCTAAATTATTTATGATCTTGAAGAATTTCAAGTGGAAAGTATTTTTTCTTATCATTTAGATGAGTTGAAGAGTTTTAGGAGTCAATTTAATAAGACTGATTTTTTTCTTTTTTTATAAACAGGTACAAACTGAATAAAAATGGAGGACATTGAAGACTTGGTAAAAGATGATGGTGAAGTTCTGGTTCCCCGCAATCGCAATGCTGTGATGCCAAGAGTGCGTCGGCGGAAAGGAATTCTAACAAACAAGGAGGTCTGTTAGAATATTCATCTATAAAAGGCAATTGGTTGATTTTAAAGTACATATGTTTATATGGTTGAGAATTACATCTTTTTATTCTTCCTTGTCATAAAGAAGCTGATTCATTTTTTTTTCCATGACAGAATGATGAACATGAAGGAGAGTGTGACAGTTTTATCCCAGGAACACAAAAAGTGTACCTCAAGACCTGGGGATGTGCCCACAACAGCTCGGATAGCGAGTACATGGCTGGACAACTGGCTGCATATGGATTCAAGATCATTGGTAAGCTAGAGTAGTAAATAGTCTTATGGACACTGAATTAGATTTGAATTGCTTATGTAATCTACAATGTAAGAGCTACAATCGATGAAGGTAGGACACACTTATTATATATAGGTAGAAGAATAAAGACTAGTTATAGATTTCCAACACACTTCACTTTTTTTTCTTTTCTTTTCTTTTCTTTAAATATTAAAAAAAGACATGAGAAAGAGATAACTTTTTCAGTATACTTTCAGAGGATAAGCAAGATGCAGATGTTTGGGTTCTGAACAGCTGTACTGTTAAGAGCCCAGCTGAGGACCATTTTCGTAATGAGATAAGAGCCGGAAGAGAAGCTGGGAAGAAGGTGGTTGTGGCAGGCTGTGTTCCTCAAGGTTTGATATGCTCTTTACTTATTTCTTTACATTCAAATGCTTATAGTTTTTGTATTTAACCCCTAATATTTGAGGACATATGTGTTTTGACTTTTGATATTGAATCTGAGTTGACTCAATTGAGCATATCCTTTCAAAAGTTTTTTTTTTTTTTTTTTTTCCCTCTCCCCCTTTCTCTCCCTCTCCCTCTCCCTCTCCCTCTCCCTCTCCCTCTCCCTCCCCCTCCCCCTCCTTTTCCCTCTCCCTCTCCCTCTCCTTCTCCCTCTCCCTCTCCTTCTCCCTCTCCCTCCAAGAAGTTAGGGGTTAATGAATTGAAACTGTACTGTAATAGGTAGAGACATAAGTGGAATGGATGAAACTGATATTTACGTCTAGCTTACATTTTACTTCATAGGTGCCCCACAGTCGGAATTCCTTCAAGGGCTAAGTGTTGTTGGTGTTCAGCAAATTGATCGCGTTGTTGAAGTGGTGGAAGAAACTCTCAAAGGTGAGGGAATATGGTTTCATATATACCAAAAGTATTAGATCTTTCAACCCAATGGCATTTATGTACATGCCTTGCCCACTGTGAGTTTACTTGTTTAATTGTTTTTGTATATATATGGCTGCACTTGTACTAAGTCACCAGTGAGCCAATTATGAGTACTGCCAGTCTCGCCCATTTACCCTTTTCCATGATTCGTGAAAATATTTTACGTTATCTTATTTTGCTGTTACGAATGTTTATAACATTATAGTAATTATAATTTTTATAATAAAAATGACATCATCGATACGCATAGCATTATTAGAAAATACATTTTTATCAATTCAAGGAATGGTGAAGTTTGTTAAAGTCACAAGATTTACTAATGGACTCCTTTGTGGCTATGCACTAGCAGAGCCATCAGTGTGCTGAGACATTTCACCAAAATATAAAAAAATGTGTGCAGCTTTTTCCCCATTTTTTTATTAACCCATTCCTGATGGGGAAAATTAATAAAAAATTGGGGAAATTCTGTGCTCATTTTTTATATTTTTGTGAAATGTCCCTGTTACTAGATGGCTCTGGTAGTGCTTAGCCATAAGGGATTTCACCTTTCCTTGAATTGGCGCAAAAAACGTATTTTTACTTGTGCTATGAATATAGATGGTGTTATTTTTATTATAAACATTATAATTACTAAAATGTTATAAACATTTGTAACAGCAAAATAAGATAATGTTAAATATTTTCGTAAATCAATGAAAAGGGTGAATGGGCAAGACAGGCGGTACTCATAACTGGCTCATTGGTGATTTAGTACAAGAGTAGCCATCTATGTGTAAAAACAATTAAACAAGTAAAATCACAATGGGCATGGCATGTACGTACATGCCATGCCCATCGGCAAGGGTTTAATTTCCCCTGGTGGCATGTGGTTAAGAAATGTTTTTAGAATTTATATTTTATAGATTTTTTGGCACAAATAAAAAAATATACATTTGTTTTAGTTTGCCTTTAACCCATTCGTGCTGGGTAAAAAGGAGCAAAAAATGGAGGAAATGCTGTGCTCATTTTTTGTATTTTTTTATGAAATGTCTCTAC